TTGATTGGCATTCCGTTGCAATTAGTGAATACTAGGTAGCAACATACCTCCCCGTAATAATCGTATCCTGTGTGTAGTTTTTTACTGTTAGCCTAATAACATTGCAAAGAACCGATTTCAATATAATTTGACAAAATTTACTTTTACACCAAATTCCGTCACACCTTCCATATTTCATTGAAATTTGTGTGTCAAATATGTGAAATCGACAGAGAATATATATGGGAGCTATATCTAAATCTTAACCGAATTACAATTAATATGACAAAATTTATTATTGTAACAAAATTCCGCCACAGATTCTGAATTTTATTGGAATCGGTCATATATATTGTATTTGGTGCATAACATACATGAAATCGGCCGAATATATATATGGGAGCTATACCCAAACCTCAACCGATTTCAATAGAATATGGCAATTTTTTTGGTACCTGATTTCGTCTCTCTGTCCGAATTTCATTGGAATCAGACATATGTACATATCGCGTTGGATGCATCAAATATCGGCCGAAAATATATATGGGAGCTAAATCCAAATCTGAACCGATTTCAATATTATTTGGCGAGTTTCACGAAAACGTGAAACATTTATCAATTGTAGCACTGTGTAATTATAAAACTATACAACGTAGGACTTTGAAATTTTCGATAGTGACGTTCTACAATATTTTAAAAACATTTATTACATTTATTTTTTCGATTAATCTCTGTTTTTGGCGATCGCACCCCTCCGTGCGCTGCTGGATAAAAATAATATAAGAGAGGAACAACATTTCATTACGACATCCTTCTTCAAAAACCAAAACATACCGACTTAGATTTAAGGAAATTCTTGTCACGTACCCCATGGCGTATGACATATCTATTTCTATGGGTATTGAACAATTCCCATACGCACTCTCAACCATTGCAAAGTGATTTTTGTGTCTCGCCGTGTCACGTTTTCGGCTGAACATCACTTTGTATGTTTATACGAACACACACGCATCTAGTTTGCGTAATGGATTTTGTCTATCACGTGTCACGAAAAAGTACCGTTAAAAAGTGATAAGTTGATACGATTTCGGTTGCTTCCTATCAAATTTGCGACGAAAAGCTGTTTGGGGGGGTTAAGCTGTTCTTTCATTTAAACACTCCGGTAATATTGAATGGCAAAAACATCTGTGTCTATAGTATAAGTAAGGTAAGTGATACAAAGCCGTTTTTATTATAAAACAATCAGGTGGATTTTTAGAAAGAAGTGTTGTTATAGATTTCGCAAATCTCGAGAGACATAAGGAAATACAATGCACAACATTTTGTGCTTGTACATTAAATAGGCGAAGTGTTTTTTTTAAATGTAAAAACAAGTAAAATAGTATGGTAGGTTTTGCCGACAGACCTTGAGTTATGATAATTCAAACTGTTGGCCCTTTATGGGGGAGGTTCCAATTCGTATCTGACTTAAGACTGATATAAGCATTAAAACGTGTCAGATTTTGACTAAATCGACTACTTCCTATACTTTACTTGAAATATGTGAACATTTTTGGAAAATGTAGAAGAACTCCATTTTCATACGAAATTTGAAGGAAATCGAACATTTGTATCCAATTTTATGCGAAATCATAAATTTCGATAAATTACATATTCATATCAAATGTCTGGTTAAGAGAAATATTTAGATATAGCAAGTTCTAAAGAATCGCCGACTTGTTTCCCACGTTATGATAGATAAAAGTATTGAAAATTGTGATTCTTTGTAGGTTAGGTACCAGAAGGGGTTCGCAGATATATATCATTTTCACAACAGATCCAACGTTAGCAAAAATATTTGGATGTCTGAAATTTGAAGAGAGTTGGATATTTATTTCGCTTTATTTGAGCATTTTGTTTTTTTAAATCCTGAACCCTATGTGGGGGAGGTATCAGAAGAAACGATCTCTGCCATCTTTATAACAGATTTTGTGTTTGTGGAAATATTGAGATGTACCAAGTCTGAATGGAATCGGATGGTCATTTCCCGTTTTATGAGCTTTATGGAAAAAAATTGAGCCTTGTGAGGGAGGTGCCAGAAGGAGTGGACCGATATGTCCCATCTTCACACCAGACCGTGGAATAATAAAAATATTGTGATGTGTGTAATGTGAAGAGAACAGGATACTTATTTCGCCTCGTCGAAATAACGGGCTGGGTGACTGTCGGATGTTGACAAGTAATGGAGATCAATAAATACTATGTTTGTGCTCGGAGCAACGATGTTGGCGATTTAAAGGTATTCGGAAACTTCAATTGGGCTGATGAGTGGTAGATAAACAGTTATGGTCATCTTCAAAGGCTAGGAAACTATTTTAGCTAGCACTACGGTTTAAGTTCAGTCAGGCCGAACTCTAATACTTTCCACTATTAGGTAAAGATAACATTTTTATAGATAAGTATCTGGATTCAAATGTGTTCCACTGAAGCTGGAACCTATATCGAACTATAAATACAATTTTTTAGATAAACCCGTGCGCTAAAACCATCAAAATAACGAATATCGGGAGGTACTGTTATATGGGGACTATACGAAAACGTGGACTGATATATTTTATTTTCAATAACAACTATCCTAGACACAATACAAATAGCTGTGAAGCTCTACGTCAAATAATGTGGGCTGTATCGTGATTTCAACAAACAGACGGACATCGCTAATCGACTTTGAATTTTATGCTGAAAGGTATACAAACGGAATGACAAATTTAATATACCCTCCTATGGAGCAATAGATATACCGGACCGAGTTTCACCAAATGGTAAACTTCGGTTGAATATGAAAAAATCGATCCAATTTGGGCTGATATTACAAATATGGTTGACAATATCCGTAAAACCGTAAAAGTTGGCAGAGGTATTTTTGAACTGTATCTGATATCTTGTACCAAAGATCATTGTGGTGGAGCGCATATTACGCATGTGAGAGACTATAAAACCCCAAATCGGATGAAGCACATATATATGGAAGCTATAGCCATCTGAACCGATTTTCACCAAATTTGAAATACTTGTTTCTAAGATGTATTCAGTCGGAATTGCCATGATTCAGTTCATTTGGGCTGATATTAGCCATTTGGTGCGCAATAACCTTGACATCAGATAAAAATATATATGGGAGCTATAACCTAATCTGAACCGATCTTGATAAAATTTGACAGAGGTATTGCAGTATCTGATATATATCATCCTTCTGGAGTACCTGTTACGCATGTGAGGAACTCAAAACCCCAAATTTGATTTACTTGCTTCTAGACTGAATTCGGTAGGATGTACCAAACTACAGGTAATTTGAACTTACATTAGCTATTAGGTGCACAATTAACCTGAAATCGGTTGTAGATATATATGGGAGCTATATCTAAATTTGTTCCGATTCTCACCAATTTCAATAGGGTTCATCCTTGAGCCAAACAAATATTGTTTAGAAATTTTCATTTCAAGCGGATAATAAATTCGACCTGAATTTTGTTCACAAAAATACATGTACAGACGACTGGACGGACGGCCTGATATGCATAAATCGACTCAGAAAGTGATTCTATGAAGATACTCAAAAGTAACGATGGGTCTATCTCGCTTCCTTCTCCATTTTACAAACAAATGCACAACGACATAATACCCTTATATACCTGAAGGGTATAAAAATATCGTGAAGCAGGCGGTATGGAACTAAACCGAAAATCGAACATACTATTCTAGTTTTTCTGCGAGTAGATAAAAAGGCTAGGACCATCAAAATACCGGCTATCGATGGCTACCTTTATATGAAAACTATGGACGAGGTTTTACACCTAGAAAATGTGGCTTAAATCGTTAAAACACGGAATATTAGGAGGTACCATTATATGTGTACTTGATAAAAAATTAAGGGTCATTCCGTAAAAAAATGCCGAATATCTTGTGGTTCCGTTATAGGGGAGCTGAACTAACGAGGGCGTATATATATATGGCACATAATTCTACACGGTTAGTCACTTAAAATGCAAAAAAAATGCCTTGAAATTTGGGAATAATTCACCAAACTACTGATTATCGGGTAGTACTTGCATATGGGACAGACAGATGGACAGATAGATGGAAATCGCTAAATCGAATTAGCATTTTACGTTCATTGGGAATATTTACATTGAAGGGGTTAACATGATAATATATTTTATATACCCTCCATATTATGATGGAGGTTATAAAAATCTTCAAAATTATATGGCAGAGTAGGGTATCCCCAGGTTAACCTATCACATCACATTGTCTACCTTCCAATAATTGTATTCCAGTATAGCCACTAATCCATGAAAACGAATGGCTTAAAATCGTTACGTTAATCAGCTGACATGGTGGGGTTGCCTATTCGACCACCTGGAATAAATAAAAGAAATAAAATTGGAAAACTTTCGGCGGACAAGTCATCGAAATGTAATTCAAAATACACACACATATCCGCATAGCACACATGTCACTTGTCTAAAAACACAAAGTTGCTTTGTGGCGTTGAATTTCCCAAAACACAGTCATGAGCGGGAAAAACAAGACCACACACACATTTATTTTCTCTCTGCTGCTACAAGCACCCGGTAAATTCTCCTAGCCGACATCAAAACATAAAAGACCATCAAAAAACTGGCAGTGTATTGCGAAAGTCAAGGTGATTACGAAGAAGAATGAAAGAACACAACAATTTGAGAAATTGGTGAACAAAACAACAGATGAAAATATAACAACCACAACGAATGTTGTTTGTAAACAGAGAGCCTGAAAAGTGTTGTGACATTTACTCTCAACGGATAAATCCTTTGGAAGCCATATAGAAATATTCCAATGTTTTGATTCCAATGAGGGGAACTTTTCCTTTAAATAACACAACGATGAGAGCTGGAGGAGAAGAGAGAGAGAGAGAAAGTGTGAGAACATAAAGCTAGCAATTGAGAACTGTTCCGTTAAACTCAACGAGAACAGCAATGTGTGGGTGCTTTTGTTTTGGCGTGTGAATGTGTGCCTGTATGGTGGAAATCCTATGGTGAAATACCTACAACAAAACAAAACACTGTTGAATATCCGGCCATAAGAGATTCCATGAAAACTGCTCACCGAATGTTTCCGACTCAGTCGCTTTGGAGACGTTCGCAGATGAAAACGTTTTGAAAAATGAAAACGGCCAGTGGTTATTGATTCGCTGTAGTGTTTGATTATACAACGTTTATACATTTTAGTGTATAAATATTTTTATAGATATATATTTTTTAAATATTATTAAACATAATGTGTTTTCAAAATAAACGAGAGTGAGAGAGAAAAAGTTTTTGGTTTTTTTTTAAAGTGAGATAACTATCAAAATAGAAAACAAAATAAAATCAAAATGGGTTTACACGACAAGTTGCGTAAATTCAAGCGCAGCAGCCCCAGCCCCAATGGCATTGAAATGCAAAGACGTCGTTCTAGCCAGAATCTGGTTGTACCACCGGGTCAAGTGACCGAACAATCGCTGCAGGTATGGCGTGCTCTACCACCGCAGATCCGACATGATCCTAGTATGGTCTCCTTTCAAATGGAAAACGAACGATTGCGAGGTGAGTATGAAAGTTGCGCCACGACCATGGCCGACCACAACAATCATGGTTGCTGGTGGGAGCATCTCAAACGGAAGAGACCTCAAACGTGACCAACGCCACAGCCATTTGTGGCATGACATTAAAGGGGAACTGGATAATGAGATGCGGTTGTTATGCTTTGCTTTTTTTTTGCAATGATATGTTTGATTTGGGATTGTGAGAGTGGTAGGCCACAACCACAAGGATGCTCGAGATGTCGATGACACTTTTGTAGTCCACTTCGAAAAGGATGCTTAACACAGCCGCAACAACAAAAACAAATAGCAAAACGAAATATTGGTAATTGGAGCAGAAAATTCATATTGAAGGGTGGAGATTTGTTAGGGTAAGATGCGAAATGTTTTTGCAATTGAGTTTTAAACAGGGGGTGTTATGATAATAAATAGGCATTGGCAATGTTTACGAATGAAGCTGAGTGGAAAACATGGCAATTTTTTTCATATTAGGCCAAAGTGAATGCTAACAGTTTTGTATGGGTACTTGATTGGAATACTGTATTTACTTTGAATATGTTTTTACCCTCCACCATACCATGGAGGGTATATTAACTTTGTCGTTCCATTTGTAACTCCTCGAAAAACTCATGTCGGATAATACAAAGTATATATATACGAGGTGAGATAAAAAACAGCAACAAAGTCAAACGTGATAATTTTTACATTTTTTTCTAAATTTTATTGAATGAAAGCAAAGAATGTCGGAAATAGCATCAAATTTAAGAATAAGTTTAGATTTGTTCGTATTCGTCACCTCTGGCAGGAATTATGGCCTTCAAACGCGCAATGAAACCGTCACATGCTGCCCGAATGTTGCTCTGCGGTATTTTGGCCCATTCCCGGCGAAGCACTTGCTTGAGGTGATCGACACTTTGGTATTTTTTAGTGCCAACCTTGCTTTCCAAAATAATCCAGACACAATAGTCCAACGGATTGGTATCCGGAGATTTTGGTGGCCATTGTGGGCTGGAAATGAAGCGAGGGACCTTATTTTGTAACCATTCTTGGGTGGCTCGTGCTGAGTGCGAGGGTGCTGAGTCTTGTTGGAATGTCCAAGGTCTACGGCCAAAATGTTTGCGTGCCCAAGGCTTTAATACACCCTCCAGAATATTTTCGCGTTAATATTCGGCATTTATTCTGATGCCACGGTCGATTAATACGAGCGGAGAACGACCATCGGCTGTTATGGCGGCCCACACCATCACCATGGTCGGCGTTTGAGTTCTGGTGGCCAACCGAAGGTGAACATTTTCTGCTGACCTCTTTGGCAAGTAAACACGAATTTTGAATTGAATTATTTCAAATTTAGTATTTTAAGTTCGGAATCGGTACTACAGCTACGGTTTTAATTTTAACGGTATTTTTCGACGGATTTTTTAAATTTTCAAGTTCCCTCCAATCAAGTTCCTTCATACCCTCAGCCATATGGCTAGAGAGGGTATATCATTTGATACGGCCAGAACGTGCCTAATTGAAATAACGGTTTTAGACCTCAGGTCTCTTTGGACCAAATCCATTTCAGGATATTTGGAGTCGATCTAGCGATGTCCGTCCGGTCGTCTGTCTAGCTGATGCGCACGATAACTCTCGAAGGGAGTATCCGATTTGGTCCAAACGTGGTACATCGACAACGTGGTACAGTATCGGTCAACTCCATCAAGTACCTTCCCCACAAAGGGTCAACATTTTGAATAATCATAACTCTTATAAAATGGGATGTAAGAGTCCGATTGTCTTCAAATTACACACATCACTATATTCTATTAATCCAAGATCTGGTGTGAAGATGAAATATATCGGACCATTCCTTCTGGTACCTCCCCCACATAGCGTTAAAGTTTCGAATACTCAAAACGATTTTTAAAACCGAAAGAAGCATTAGATTCTCTTCATATTTCAGACATGCAATTATTTCTACTAACACAATATCTGCTATGAAAAAGGGATATATTGGTCCACTCCTTCCGGTACCTCCTCCACAACTGGTCAACATTTTGGATATGAATATAAACGCGAAATTAACATGCTATTCCATTCAGACTTGTCCTCATCTCAATATTTCCATCAACACAAGATTTGTTATAAAGATGGTAGGGATCGGGCCATTCTTTCTGGTACCTCCCCCACCGAAATAAGCATCCGGTTCTCTTCAAATTCCACACATACCATTATTTTTACAAACTCAAGATCTGGTACTTCCCCATAAAGGGGACAACAAAAACAACGCATCCAAACATTTTTGCTAACACAAAATCTCTTGTGAAGATGATAGATATCTGCCAACCCTTTCTGGTACCTCAACCACAAAGGGTCACAATTTCCAATACTTATATCTGTCATAATTGCGAAACCTTTCGGCGATTCTATACAACTTGCTATATCTAAATATTTCCCGTAGCCAGAAATCTGATATAAATATGTGATTAATCGGAATTTACATTATTCAGCGGAATTGTTTCCAATTTGTATTTGAAGTTAGTAATGGACACTACAGCCTATGACAGAAAATTGTCTGTGCAGGTTCACGTTTTGGTATGTGCCCCATATAATGGTACCTCCCTATATTTGGTATTTAGATGATTTTTGCTACATTATTCACTGATTTTTATTTAAGTTCGCATTTGAATATGGCTTATGACAAAATGGCTTATGACAAAAGTTACCTATACAGGTCCAAGTCGACGTATAGACCCTAATATAATGGCTATATTCGGTATTATTTAACAGAATTTTTAAGGGATTTTATTTTTTTGAAAATTGCCAAATTCGTTCCAAATGGCGGGAGGTATTCAAAGTTTCGTCCAGCGATCTTACAGCTTTTTTACTTGTTCATATGTTAAACATATGCGTACGTAACGGTTTGCCAGTTTGACTAAAATGGAGGAGGGTACTCTACTACCAAGACATAACGCGATATATCCCATACTTTTCAAACTGAATGACACATTATAGCAAAATACATTAATTACCAGTGGAAATGAAATGAAATGTAGGGACATCAAAAAATGCAATTGTCTGATAAAGACGTTTTTTTATTTATAGATCACCTTTAGGAGGTCTTATTTCAGTTTTTAGCAAACTTACCGAATTTTGACTAAGATCAGTTTTTACATTTGCCTCTTTACTTGTCCACATCATCAATCAATATACAAAGTAGCAATGCCTAATATATTCAAATATGATTTTTTCATTTTTCTTCAAATCAAAATTGCTTTTGATTTTGTGCCAAAATAAATTTCAAAATCAAAACACATGTGACGAATGACCTAAACAAAAACAAGAATGAGAGACCAAAACAACGAGAGCAAATCTTTTGGAATATCAACAGAAGTACATGCATACATATATACAAATATATTTCTTTATATTTACATCACGAACCTATGGCGTATGTATGTACGTATGGATTCATTCAACATGTGGCTTCTTTAACTTTTAGTCCCTCGTATTAATCTATACATTCGTACATTCGTGAGCAGAAATGAGGAATGAAATGTTGTAGCAGCAGGTGTAAGGATTGTTGCCGATATCCTTCAATGAATTTGTAATGAGCTGGGATACAGGCAATGGAAATGATTTCGCACGCCGAAACTTCTTCCCTTTGGCGATACGTGTCGAGAAAACTAAATCGCTTCCTTCGTTCAATTTGTATGGAGATATTATTATGTCATGTATCCTAAATCATGGTTAAGCTAAGTCCAAAATAACCTTGTCCTTTTCATATTTAGTACGTGATTAAAATAGTAATTATAGTTTCTTTTTTGGTTCGTGGCGATCCCCCAGTTTGTTTTTTTGTTCTTCTGTAACTTCAGGTTAGAACTATGGTACCTAGCAAAAAATAATTGGAGAGCAATGTTTACATATTTTATTATACCGTTTTTTTGGTACAGATATTTGTATTATTCCTAGAATATTGCGATTAAAATCTGGACATTTGAATTCTATGCACTTATAGAAGTAAAGCAACACTGTCGCCACTTTGAAATTCCGATTTTGGGGTTTTCCAATAAAAAACTTATTATGATTTGGCCTCATCATGGAGATTTTTATACCCATATTGCTAGAGAGGGTATATATCTTCTATCAGGACATTTCGAATCGATCTAGCGATGTCCGTCCGTCTGGCTGGCTGGTGCGCACGATAACTCTCGAAGAGAGTATCCGATTCGGTTTAAACTTGGTACATCGTAATATTATTATCAACTTAGATCGAATTCGGAGATGGGTAATATCGGCTTACTCCTTCGGGCACAGCCCTTTTCAAAAAAAAAAAATACTTTACTGCACAGGAAAAGAAAGATTGATCCGATTTTGCTTCAAATGTGCAAATCTAAATATTTTCATCAGTGCTAGGTCAGTTGCGAAAATGGACAATATTCGCCCACTCCATCAAGTAGCTCCCCCACAAAGGGCTAGAATTCGGAATAATTATATATCTTATAAAATGCAGAAAAAGAGTCCGATTGTCTTCAAATTTCGAACATCCCAATATTTCTAGCAATACAAGATCTGGTGTAAAGAGAGCATATATTGGACCACTCCATCAAGTTCCTCCCCCACAAAGGGTTAAAATTTTGAATAATTATAACTCTTATAAAATGTGAAATAAGAGTCCGATTGTCTTCAAACTTTTCACACTTCAATATTTTTATTAACACCTAATATGATCTGAAGGTAGGATATACCAGTCCACTCCTTCTGGTACCTCTCCCACAATAGATCAAAATTTTAAAAAATTATATTTTTCATAAAATGCGCAATACGCATCAGATTCTCTTTACATTCATATATCCTACTATTTCTATCAACACAAAACCAGGTGTGAAGATGAAATATGCCGGACCACTTCTTCCGGTACCTCCCCCACAAAGAGTCAAAATTTTCAATAATTATATCTCTCATAAAATGCGAAATAAGCTCCAAATTCTCTTAAAATTTTGTGTACCCCAATATTATTACTAA